ATCGATTTTCATTCTTTATTATTATCAGTATAAATTTGCATACATTTGGTTTAAAACGAATAAACAGATGTGTTGCGCAATTTTGCTGGTATGATGAATAGAAGAAGATCGCCTCGGTGGACAAACGAGTCCGCTACATCATGAAAATCGATCATGAATTGCCAACTAACTCATGACCTCAAGATGGATGCCAACGATGCCAACAAGACTAATGACGAAACTTCGAGCTGCAAGTCTCACCGGTCGAGCTATACGACGGTATCACGAGCGTCTGCGAGATCGGTCAGAGCTGCTAGTACACGACTGCGGCAGTTAGAAGAGCAGCAACGGCTTGAAGCAGCAGCCGAGGAATCTAGAAGACAGCTGGCGGAAACGAAACGACAGCTGGAACTAGCCAGAGCAAGACACGCGCTGGAACTTGCCGAGATCGACGAACAAGATCAGGTAGAAATGGAGGAATGTGCACGATCCCTCCGTCATTCTTCTCAAGACGTGACACGGTGTGACCTGACGAATGCCATTGAATCCCAGCCAGAGAACGACAGTCGCCGGATATCAACTCGGCTGGAACCTGAGCAGGTCTCGCACTGGCCTGAGCCAGTCTCGCACCGGCCAGAGCCACCCTCGCACCAACCTGGACCAGACTCACACGTACTTGAACCAGTCTCACACCGTCCTGATTCAATCTTCATCGTGAGAGAAAACCCCAAACTGGACATTCTGCCCTTCGATGGAAAGTACAGCCGCTATCCATTTTTCAAGCTTCAAGTCGATGAAGCCATGAGATCCGGCCAGTTCACCGACCTGCAGATAATTCGTCATCTGCGGGACAGACTCAAGGGGCCGGCCTTTGAAGCGGTACATGGAGCTCTCCTGTCTGGGTGTCCTCTGCTGAGGATTATGCACGCGCTCGAGTCTCGCTTCGGGAACCGCCTGCAAGTGACGAACGCCGTAACGACTCAGCTCCTGAACTTCGACACGATACGATCGAGCGACACAGAACTGCTCTCTCAGTTCGGCACGGCAGTGTATAACGCTATATCAACTCTTCAAGCAGTCGGCTTTGAGAGCGAGTTGGACAACTTGCGCACGCTGCAGTTGTTGACGGGAAAGCTGCCACTGGAGAGCCAGCAAGCTTGGGGCGCCTACGCTCGGCGCCGATGTGAAGACGGGAGGAAGCTGTCGTGCGGTCTTTTCCACGAGTTTCTGGAAGAGCACATAAAGGATCGACAGTATGGCGTCATCGGCAGCAGCCTGCAATGCCATCCGTCACATGATGTCAAGAACCGCTCCGGCAGTCGCGGACGCACGAGCAGACGCGACCGTCACGAGCACCAACGAGAACGCCATGGCTACCATGGGGCCGGCAGGACGAGCCGCCCACCTGCCGAGCCTCCCACCTCTGTGTACGCAGCCAACGGATCTGCCCAGGGAACCCAGGGAGCCACAGCGCGTCGACCAGTGGCCTGTTTCTGCTGTGGCCAAAATCACTATATAGCTCGCTGCGAACAGTTCCAGAGACTGACACCGAAAGACAGACTGTCGTGGGTTAATACGAAGAAAGCCTGCGTCCGCTGTCTCAACACATCCCACCAGTCATCTGACTGTCACCGAACAGGACCGTGTGGCATAGAAAACTGCACGCAACATCATCATCGACTTCTACACCCGGCTCAAGGAAGCACGACTGTGATCAACGCGGCGAAGGATGGACACACGTCCATTCTGATGAAAACGGTCGTCATCGAAGTCTCCGGCTCCACAAAACGAAGGTGTGTCGCCTTCCTGGACGAGGGAAGCTCAGTCACGCTCATGACTGATAAGCTGGCACAGGAACTGGGACTTCACGGGAAGCGTCAAAATCTGCGCATCAAGACAATGTCTGGACTGACTTCAGTCAACTCGTGTGAACTCACCCAGGTGACCATCGAGAACATCCATACCGGTTCAACACACCTGCTGGATAAGGTGGCTACTGTTCCCGAGCTGCAAATAGACAAGAATCCCGTGACGGCAAAACAGCTGAAGCGCATGTTTCCCGAGATCGAAGAAATTGGGATCAAACAGCTGGATGAGCCGCCTCAGATGCTGATTGGCCTTGACCACGCGGAGCTCATCGCCACTCAGAAGATCATCAAGACGTCGAAGAATGGTCCTCTGCTCCAGGAAACGAAACTGGGATGGACCATAACTGGGCGCGTCATCGCTACGGAAGACACCGAGACAGAGTGCGTAAACTTTCTGAACAAATCCCTGAACATGTATCGGGACGACAGCGCTGGCACCGCCGCCTACTCAACCGACAGCGACTGCAGCGACATCTGCACGGCTGGGAGTGCTGGCGATCTGAGCGACATCTGGAGAACAGAGCACTTTGGCTGCAAGTATGCCTTCAGTAAGCCGCACAGCCCAGATGACAGGAAAGCGGAAACGATGCTACAAGAAGGGGCAAAATACGACGGAACAAGATGGACAGCCCCGCTTCTGCTCAAAAACGAAGATGAGAAGATGCCTGAAAGTCGAACGATGGCAGAACAGAGAGCCATTGCCTTGGAAAAACGACTGGATCGCTCTCAGCAAAAGAAAAACGGCAAAACACCAAGTCTCGCCGAGCTGGTGTACGAAAAAATGGAGAGAATGGTATCAGACGGCCATTTTCGAAAACTGAGTGAAAATGAAGCCCAAGAAGGACACAAGAATGTCTGGTATCTCCCACTGCTCGCGGTGCAAAATCAGAAGAAGCCGAACAAGGTGCGCCTAGTGCTAGACGCTGCCGCGAAGAGCAATGGCAAGAGCTTGAATGACTTTCTTCTCCAAGGGCCAGACCACATGAACTCTATACCGAGGATTCTGTGCCGCTGGCGGGAGAAAAGAGTAGCAGTGACCTCTGACGTCATAGCTATGTTCAGTCAGATCAAAGTGCGAGAAGAAGACCGACCACTTCTGAGATTTCTGTGGCGGGGCTCACGTCGCACGGGCCGATTTGATGTGTACGAGTCTCCGGTGGTTATTTTCGGTGCCACCTGCTCACCAAGTATCGCTGAGCACTGCTTCCGGCGCACGGCGGACGAATTCACCGAAGACGAGGCAGTGAAGACAGCCGTACGAGAGGACACCTACGTGGACGATATTGTCACCGGTACAGACACCGAACACGAGGCAGTGAAACTGATTGGCAGCGTCACAGAAACACTCAAGAAAGGAGGCTTCAAGCTGGGCCCGTGGGCCTCAAACTCTGAAGAAGTCCTCCACACCGTCCAACAGGAGCAAGAACAGCAAGACAGTCGGCTGCAAAGAACGTTAGGAGTCGGCTGGGAAGCTCGCCTCGACACTCTAACCTATGAGCCAATCGCTCCGCCGGAACAGCTAACGAAGAGAACACTTCTATCGACAATGATGTCGGTGTACGATCCGATTGGATTCTTGACAGGATTCCTCCTGAGAGCGAAGGAGCTGTTGCAAGTCCTGTGGAAGTCAAGCGTCAAATGGGACCAAGAACTACCGAGTGAAGTCCAGCAGAAGGTGAAGATGTGGATGGATGAGCTGACGCAGACGAGAGATCTACACATCCCACGTCACATCTTTCGTCAGGAGGCCGGCATCTCTTCTGTCGATCTGCACGCGTTCTGCGACGCAAGCGAGATGGGGTTCTGTGCAGTGCTATACTATCGATGGATCGACTCGACTGGCTGCATTCAAGTGAGCTTTATCTCTGCTCATTCTCGCGTTGCTCCCGTGAAGAAAATGTCTATCCCAAGACTCGAGCTTCAAGCTGCCGTCCTGGCCAGCAGAATGATAGCCTTCATCAGAAAAGAAACACGGACCGGCATCAAGTCGACAACATGTTGGTCGGATTCGAAGAACGTGCTTGCTTGGCTGCGCAGCACGAACCGAAGATACAGTGTATTTGTCGCAAACCGTATTGCGGAAATACACGACGTCACGGGGCCGGCTGACTGGCGTTACGTGCCGACGGCGATGAACGCCGCAGACTCTGGCTCCAGAGGCCACAAAATCGAAGATTTGTGTCCTGACAAGGAGTGGATTCGAGGGCCAGAGTTCCTCTACAAACCGGAGACAGACTGGCCAGATGACTGCTCAGATGCAACCGGCATTCTCGAGACGGACATGGAATCCAAACCGGTGGTGCTCGCTACAACAGTGAAGATCGAGCCCAATTTTCGAGAAAGCACGCCAGATCTTTCCCGATTCTCGCGCTGGACAGTGGCGGTGCGCACTGCGGCCAGAATACGAAGATGGCTCAAACTTGTCCGAGAAAGAAAACGCGGACCACTCACGGCTGATGAACTACGTGAAGCGGAAGAAATATGGACGAGAAGGGTCCAGGGTGATTCTTACCGTGTTGAACTCATATGTCTTCAACAAGGACATCCGAACAAAAACAAGAGCCAGCTCTCAGGCATGACCGTTGGGTTGTTGGACGGCATCATTTGCCTCGACTCTCGCGTGAAGCGGTCTCCAGAGCTGTCACCGACTGCGAGAAATCCGCCGGTGCTAGCCCGTGACCACAAATACACGGAGCTACTGATCGAGCACCTGCACCAGAAAATGGGACACCGAGCGCACGACGCAGTTCTGGGCCCTGTTCATGAAGTCTGCGGCCGCTGCGGCCGGCCGCAGGCTCTAAGCTCCGCCCATTTATGAAACGTCATCACTCACTCGGCCGCAGCAGCGTTCCATGAACAGCGTCTGCTGCCGAAATAGTTTCCGACAATTGTTTACAACTGAAGCACACCGGTAGATAATTTGTTTACAAAAATCGTCTCCATGACAACACGGCCTGCGCCTATTTGACTTCAGTGCGCCAAGTTCAGTGCAATTAGTTTTCTTGAGGCTCGGCGGTCGCTGGATTGCGGCCGCAGAGATCGCAGCGGCCGCAGCAAGATGACGTCATACATTCGTCATACTACATGAGCCCCGCCCCTTTTTGTGACGTAACAACCCGGCTGGCCGCAGCGACCGCAGCGGCCGCAGCGACCGCCGGGGTTCATGAACAGGGCCCTGGTGAGCCTCCGACAGAAGTGTTGGGTGCCGCAAGCCGCTCGCAAGATTCGCTCGCTTGTGGCAAGATGTCAGACCTGTAGGGTGCGGAAGGGGAAGCCACAGACGACAAGAATGGCTCCGCTTCCGTTGGCCCGAGTCACTATGCTCGAAGGCGCCTTTCGGGCGACTGGTATGGACTATTTCGGCCCGATGAAGGTGAAACGGGGGAAGACAGTGTCGAAGATCTGGGGCGTACTGTTTAGGTGTCTAGCCACGCGTGCCGTGCACATAGAGCTGACGGACAGCCTGGACACTGACGCGGCCCTGATGGTGATATCAAGATTCCAGGCGCGACGAGGAAACGTGCAAGAACTATGGTCAGATAATGGCAAGAATCTCACCTCGGCAAACAAGGCTCTGAACAAGCAACTCAGAGCGCTGAACCAAGACCAGATGATGGCAAAGCTGTCTCTGGAGGGAATCAAGTGGCGATTCATCCCGCCGTCCGATCCTGAGGCAGGTGGCGCTTGGGAGCGCGCCATTCGTACGGTGAAAGACACGCTAAAGATCGTCTTGAAGGAGCAGACCCCGCGGTTCGAGGTGCTACAGACGGTCATGGCAGAAGTGGAGAAAATCATCAATTCGACGCCGCTGTTCCACGTCCCAGTGGATGCAGCTGATGACGATGTGCTCACGCCGTTCCACTTCCTCATCGGCCGCGCTACCCCTGCTTACCCGGTGGGCTCGCAGGTGCAAAGCAGTGAGTGTCTTCGTCGAAGATGGAAGCACGCTCAGGTGCTAGCCGACCATTTCTGGAGAAGATGGGCACGAGAATATCTCCCTACGCTAGCAAACAGATCGAAGTGGATCCAGTCGTCTCGCAACGTGGAGGAGGGAGACGTGGTGATCGTTGCAGATCCTCAGCATCCCCGTGGACTGTGGGTCAGAGGAGTGGTCACGGACACTGTGCGTGGCCCTGATGGAGTGGTGCGATCGGCTCGCGTGCGGACGGTGCATGGAGTGCTGCACCGCCCCGTTCGCAAACTCGTAGTGCTACAAGTACTTCGCTGTACATAAGATTTATTTATTTATTTATTTACGATCTTAAGCCTCCACATGGTGGGTTTTAAAGCTTGCGTCAATATACATTGAAGCATCATGTATGGTATTGGTACCTACATACAAATTATGATCACATGGTTTCTACATACCTACATATTATTGTCACCGCACAAGAATCACAGCCTAACTATAAAACACTGTACCTCGCGACGCGTTCTACAGATTAATACACAAAGTTGATACAGAGTTAAAATGCAGTCATCACAGTGCAGAAGCTCACTTTGATCGCAGTCTCGCACGACACGTGGCGACAGTTACTGGCTCCCTGACAGCATCAGGGGCATCGTTCCAGCTCATAGCGGCCCGGAAACAAAAGTGCCGCCGGGCCCGCTCAGAGTGCACCTGGGGCAGCTCCAGGTGACCCGCCTCCGTAGCCCGGGTACAGCGGCTTGACACCTCACTGCGCCGTGTTAGCAGCTGTTTCAGTCTGACGGGAGCCAGATGCGAGTGTGTCAGCTTGTGGACGGTAATGATATCTCTCTCGCGTATGAGGGAGTCCACGCTCTGCCAGTCCAGTTGGGCTAGAAGTGGCGTAACGTGCGTTCGACGTGAACATCCCGACACGATCTGCGCGGCATGGTTTAGAATTTTCTGAACCCTATGTCTTTGGGTTTTATTACACTCGCCCCAAACAGTAGCGCAGTACAAAATGTGTGGGAACACCAGGGACTCGACGACTAGTTTTTTGACCGAACTCGGCAGCCGATGGGAGAATTTTGAGAGACCTGATAAGGTGCTGTAGCACCGGCGCACCACTAAAGACACGTGGTCCACCCACTGTAGGCGCGAGTCAAGCACCACTCCCAGCACCTTCACCTTCTCACATGGCTGAACTACTGCACCGGCAAACTGGATAGAAAAATCGGCTCCGTGATTTTTTCCGAACATGATCAGTTCTGTTTTTGACGGGTTTATCCTCAGGCTGTTTTGATTGTACCATGCCTGGACCACCCCGAGCATGACCTCTAGGTCGGCTGCGTGTTCTCCGATACTGGTCTGTCCACAGGTATTAATGAATTGTGTGTCGTCCGCGTACATAATCAGTCTGCCGCACGGTACGTGAGACGGAAGGTCGTTGGTAAAAACTGTAAAAAGTATCGGTCCAAGAATACTACCCTGTACCACACCGTGGGAAACCGGGAGGGACTCCGAGCCGCCCCTGACCGTCTGTTTGCGGTCACTGAGCCAGTCGGCAAACCACCAGGGGTCAATACCATACCAGCCCAGCTTCTCCACGAGCCGGCCACGCTCAACGCTGTCAAAAGCTTTAGAGGTGTCAGCAGCTATAAGAGAGACTACCTGCCCCCTGTCAACTTGAGAAGAAATGTAACTGACAGCGTCAAGCATGGCCGACTCCGTGGAGTGGGCCGGCCGGAAACCATGCTGCTCGGGGCAGATAATGTCACAGCTCGTAAGATACCACATCAGCTGATCACATATGACACGTTCGGCTAGCTTCGACACGGTAGGTAAAATTGACACAGGCCGGTAGTTGTTCTCGTCTAAAATGTCACCCGATTTAAACAGCGGCGTCACTGTGGCCACCTTCCACTCCGCCGGCACCACACCGCTCACGATAGAGCGGTTAATTACGTGCAGCAGGTGAGGGCCGACGACCGGAAACGTCAGCTTGAGCATGCTGACCGTGATGCCGTCCGGTCCGCTTGCCTTGGAGCAGTTCATCCGCTCTAGCGCACTGGAGAGCTCCGGCAGAGTGGCCGGTCTCACCCTGAATGCGCCGCTGCAGACACGGGGCGGCCGGGGTGACAGCTGTGGCCCGGCAGCCGCCACTGTACTCAGGGACGCAGCGATACTGGGGCCAACCGACGAAAAGTGCCGATTGAGCTTCTCTGCCCATTCCCGTGTGCGGTCCGTGACCGGCGCACCACTACTGCCAGCTCCGCCCCTCTTCCCCGAGGCAACGAGAAACTTCCTAATGTCCTTCCAAGTCTGCTTGCGAGAATTTTTCATAGAAGCCTCAAAGAAAGCAGACCGCGCCCTGGCCTGGGCCCCTTTAACGTCATTCCGGTACTGCCGGTACCGGCGCTCGGTCTCCCCGCACCGATCACGATCCCTCTCCGCACGCGCCGCGTCCCTCTCCCTCATCATCTCCCTGAGCTCGGGGTTGTCGTCCAGCCAGGGACAGGGAGGGTGGCGAAGCTTCACCGTGACTAGAGGCATATGCGTATCAATGATGGGACTCCAAACATCTAGGAAGCCTCGCCACTTGTCCCCAACTCCTGGGAGAGCGTACACGGAAGACCAATCAGCGGTGAGAAGGTCGTAGCACAGTGCGTCGCGATCAAGACGTCGGGAAGACCTAACGACTACTTCCGTCTGCCTATCTCGCACAACAGGGATCTTTAGGTTCGCGAGCACTAAATCATGATCACTTGAATGAAATGGTATGACACGAGCCGTGGCTTTCACGTCAGATTCTGGGATGACAATATGATCTAAAAGCGAGCCATCTTGATGAGTCTGTTGCCTGATCAGCTGGGACATGTGTAGGTCGCTAAGTAGCTGCGCGTAGCTTGCCACACCGGGTTTGGCAGGTGACAACAACAAGATGTGCCTATCGCGAGCCATCCGTGCCGCGAGTGAAGTAATAGAACATGCCAGCCGTCACATATTGTCTCAACATGCATTGTTGAGAGAGGCCGGGGTGTGACGGACCAGATACGTTTATATATCGATAAATATCTTCCAGTGGAAGAGCTGATGATGAATCAAATATTTCGCCACATTGGAAGAACCTTTAAACGTGTATTTGTCTCGCGGATTTTATTTTTAGTTGTTTGGTGCGACCGCTGAACTTTGCAAAACAGGCGATCGATTTTCATTCTTTATTATTATCAGTATAAATTTGCATACATTTGGTTTAAAACGAATAAACAGATGTGTTGCGCAATTTTGCTGGTATGATGAATAGAAGAAGATCGCCTCGGTGGACAAACGAGTCCGCTACACCCATGTTTGAACGTTTGAAACCACGAAGAGACTGCAAACGCGCGGCTAATGCGAGGCGACATACGCCGAATCGCGACCTCGGCCAAACATGGTGCCATGGTGCTAGGCCGCCGGTTCATCTGAAAGAACTGTGGTGCCCCTGACAAGCCTGAAGTTCCAACGACAGGCCCGTGGTGCCCCTGACAGGCCCATGATGCCTTTGCGAGGCCGGTGGTGTCCACGTGAGGCCGGTGGTGCCCCTGGGCCCTGACAGGACTGTGGTGCTCCTGACAAGCCTGGAGTGTCCCCGACAGGCACGTGGTGCCACTAACAGGCCCAAGGTGTCCCAGTCCCTGCGAGGCCGGTGGTGTCCCTGCCAGGCATGTGGTGTCCATACTAGGCCTCTGGTGCCCCTGACAGGTCCGTGGCGCCCTTGCTAGGCCTATGGTGCCCCTGGCGGGCCTGTGGTGGTACCCCTGACAGGCCCAAGGTGGTGCCCCTGCGAGGCCGGTGGGGCCCCTGGCAGACCTATGGTGCTCTTGCTAGGTTGATGGTGCTCCCAACAGGCCTGTGGTGCCCCTGACAGGCCGGTGGTGCCCCTGGCAGGCCTGTGGTGTCCCCGGGCCCCAAGAGGGTGGGGGGTCATGACCCATATGACCCACCCTTAGATACACCACTGGTCATTACTTACAGACTGACTCATTTGACATCCATTGCAAAACAAGTCACAGTAGGGGCATTCCACGATAGATCGTACCACTTTTTTCCAATTTGACACCCTCATCTCTCGGAATTTGACGAGAATTGGTCTCAGGGGTAATCAGGGGCTCTGAATCCACCTGTAACAATTTCAGGCTTATCAGATAAGTATTTGTTGAGTTATGGTGTATAACATTTTTTGGATCTTGCTTTGCAGCGCTAAGTTTGGCGGGCTGTAACTCTAAGACGGATTATTCAAATGCCAAATGTTATATTACATTGAACTTGCAATGAAACAGAGATTAATGTGTATTTTTGAAATTTTGAAAAATACGCTATTTTTGATATATGACATATCGAGTTTTCTTTCATTTGTATTTTTGGACTTTGGGACCAAATTTTTTTGAATTTTTATTTCTTTAAAAAAATATGTGGCTCATGGTTAAGAAGTATGCCAAAAATTAGGAAGGTGTTCTTTCTATAAATGTATTTATTTTACGTCACGATAACGGTTTCGAATAGTGATTTCGGGAGGGAGCTTATAAATGGCGTGGTAAAGCTGCCTAGTGACATCACGGGTTACTGAAATTTCAATTTAAGTCTGAGTCATCCGAAAAAAGTGAAAAGAGGGTTTATCCAACCCTCTTTCCTATAAGCGCGAGGGTGAAAAAGACTGTTTGGTTCTGACTTAGATTTGGACGCCAATGACCATAGCTGTCCGAGATGAAAGTTACAGGACGCATACATGGTGTCCTCCAGAGGTCTCACAACTTGTATATATGGGAATTTTTCAAGGTTACATGAGGTCAGGTCGGTCACGTGACACCACTGTTATAAATCAATGGGAAAATATAAAAACTGTTATTTTGGCGCCGAGAATGATCTAAAACTATCCCACGTACATGGTATCGTGATTTCATGCACTCCTTGCAAAGTCCAATGCTTTACTTTTGCATTGTTAACCTTGCGTGACGTCATTTATGACGTCACTAGGGTCGTACGAGTTTTTCTTCAATAACTCCCGATCAAATGGAGCTAGAGAGTCGGGAAAGCCACCAATGGACTCGGGAAGACCTTCCGAATCGAATGGTATGCCATATGATACCCTTTGCCCAGCTTCGTGACCTGAGGGGCTCTGACCTGACCTTAACCCGAGGTCAACTACTTAAGTTGATCTCACACTAGCAAAAAGTATACCATTCGATGCACCTGAGCTAGGCGAACACAATGATGCCAAAGTCGCGGCTCTGCGGCCATTTTTTGCGAAGTTATTTACTAAAAACCGAACCCGTAACTTCAGTCACGTGACCTGACCTCAGACGCTACCGGTTGACCTGAGACCTTAAAATCGGGTACCAATCGCTGCGACTTGTAACGGCACACACGCTCGTTTTTTTCCGCGAGGCTCTAGCTCTATTAGAAGCGAAACGGCGTGCTGGGGTCGTATCAACCCTTCCGAAACCCATTTTGTTTGCGGGAAAATGAGGAACTTTTAGAAAGAACACCTTTCTAATTTTTTGCATGTCGATTTGCAATGACATGAAGTTTATTTTGAAAAAATAAAAATGTGAAAAATTTTGGTCCCAAAAGTCATTAAAGGCAAATGAAAAAAGATTAGGGTTTTTGCTCAATAATGAAATTTTTTCTTTGGAATTTTTAAATAGTAATATTAATTTTTGATTCATCGCAAGCTTAGTGTTGTTTACTTTTTGTTGGTTGCTTAACCCGTTCTTGAGTTATAGGCCATCAAACTCACCGTTACATACCGAAGTTAAAAAAAAATGTAATGCAATATAACTCAAAAAGTTTTGATCTGAGAAGTCTGATATTTTGCCAGGCGTCTTTGGGGCCTATGATTACCCCTGGGACCGATTTTCATTAAAATCTGAGAGATGAGGGTGACGGGCCTGGTACGATCTATCGTGGAATGCCCCAGTAGTTACGTAGTATGTTTGTCACCCTGTTTCTTTATGTCCATTTTTATAGTGGGCAAATCTCGACGACTAGGGGGGGGAATTCTGTTGAGTGCGAGGGCATTTGCCCCCCCCCCCCCAGTTAACATGTTAACCCTATTCCTGGCGGGGGGGGCCTCAGGAGCCCCCCCCCCCTGAGGTTTTTTGATTATTTCTCCCAAACGCGTTGAGCTAGGAAGCTCAAATTTTCTGACTTTTCCTAAAAGGCTTCTACGCAACATGTCTGAAAATTTTGAGTTGATCTGACCTCAGGTCAGGTCACCAGAGGCGGTTTGGTGACCCTACCTCAGAAAAGTTTGCAATCACGCCAGAGCTAGAGTTTTTGACCGATCAATTTCTTCTCTTCAGGGTTTAGTTAGGGTACCAGTATGTGCAATTTGTATATCTCGGAATTTTGATATCGGTGACCTAAGGTCAGGTCAATTTCGCGACCTCCCCATTATAAGTCAATGGGGGAAAAATCAACTCCCTGTTTTTACCACTAAAACGGGTCGGAATGTCCCCATATACCATACATGACTTCATATACGATCAACCTTCACTACCTTGAGGTCTGTTTTGCTGTTGGGCAGCTGTAAGGTCATGTGACGTCATCAAAGGTCACCAAAGGTTTTTGGCCAATAACTCCGTACAGGAACAAGATACAGACGCGTGGATGGTCTCATTGTGTTCAGCTCGTCAAGACGCATCGAATGATATACATGATGACCTCGAGGTCACGTGACCTGAGGTCAACCTTTGACCTTGACCTTTCGAGGTCAACATATATATCATTCGATGCGGATTGACGAGAGGATCACGATGATGCCCTTAGTTTGTTCCTATCTTGACTAATTCGAAAGTTATTCGAGAAAAACTCTCTCCATATCTAACACCGCCATTTTGACTTTTTCGACCCCTGTGACGTCATCTTTGACCTGACCTGAAAATGACCTTAGTAAAAATTGTAGATCTTGGCCGTGCGTATCCGATGCCGTTTACCGCTTGTCGCTATCTTGCTTCGTTCTCGAGATCTCAGGGGGGGGGGCCGAATCGCCCCCCCCCCCCCCCCGCCAGTTTCTTGTCCCGGCGGAGCCCGCCAGGAATAGGGTTAAAATAGGCCCTGGTAACGACCTGCGTTACGGCTTGTGTTACGGTCTGTGTTACATAGGTACCCTGTTCTGGGCGGTCTCCACCTTGACCCTCTTAGCGTCCCAGAGTCGGTACTGGTAGAGGTGCGCGTTCTCTGCCGAGACGTCCCGCAGGTGAACGAGCAGGTTCTGTAGGCCGACCAGCGTCTCAGCTGGCACCTGAGAAGGTCAGGGGAGGGTAGGGGAGGTCAGTGGTGTACTGGTGTCTGACATAGACCAGCGGACAGGGGGAGGGGAGAGGGAGAGGAGTCTGGTGGCGCAGAAGGACCGTTCCGCGCTTGAAGGTGGACACATCTGAGGACCGTTCCGCGCGCACTGACACTGCCTCTAGAACCGTTCTGCGAGCAGTCAGACATGCAGACCGGATTGATGTTTTGAAACTTTGACATAATAAACTTTAATTAATTCGACACAGGTAGCCTAACCGCATGTGTTTTTTATATCGCGGACAAAAAAGTGGAGATTGTCAGGGTTTTAACCCATTTACGCCCTTCGTTGCGTTTTCGCAACGCAAGTAAGCGTCGACGTGATCGAAGCTTGAGAAGCATGTAATGGCGGCTAACCGATGAGACAAGTTTCAGCGTGTGTAGCATGGTTGTGTGCATGATGCTACGCAGTTACAAGTCTGTGCAGCCGGTAAGTTACTGCCTAGAGCTCCTAGAGGGAAGTCGGAGGTTCTGTAAGTGATGACGTCACGAAAAACAAGATAGATAGGCTAAGTGCTTAATAATATCGTAATAAATATTGTGTAAACATATTCTACAGAGTCCCTAAAATAGCTTAGATATGCATTTTGTTAAGAAATCATGCTGCAAAAAAGGGTTTGTGACTATTTTCAAATATGACTACAGTCGCGTTGCGGGAACGCAACGAAGGGCACATCGGAAAGACAGCGGTGTTGCGAAAACGCAACGAGGGGCACATTGGTAGGGTAGCGGAAGTATGAATATCGACAATATACTTCAATCGTGATACGTTGTGGGTTCTTTCTTTCTCTCCCCAATCTTCCTCCCTCTTTTTCTCGTTCCCCCAACTCTCTCTCCCTCCCCCAACTCTCTCTCCCTCCCCCAACTCTCTCTCCCTCCCCCAACTCTCTCTCCCTCCCCCAACTCTCTCTCCCTCCCCCAACTCTCT